AAATGTTCACAAACGGTGACCCATCATGTTGAATTCACGTTATGTGAACACAATTTAATCTGATAAATAGTTATGGAGATAAAAGTACTTCTAAAACTCTAAATGCTACTTAAAAAATACTTCAAACAGCAGGATTCAGTATTGGAAAAAAACCCATCAAAAGCAAAAACTGATGACATTTAACCCTGGAGCCATTTCCTGTGATGCATGTTCAGTAATAGCTTTTCAAGATGTTATCAACTGACCAAATGTGATGTGCATATGCAGTTTACTACATAGGACGGACTGCTTTTTCTCCTGAGGTCTCGATACAAACTCAAAGGTTATGTAACTGAGTGAACTTAGACACTGGAGACCAACTTCTTCTTCATTTTGCCTTCCATGCCAACTGATATACTTGAAATTTGGGGATAATTGTATTGCACAAGGCACTGGAAATAATGGTTTTAGGATTGCAACAGTCATTTTGTCAAATCCTGCTTAACATTTCTGCAAAAAGCAGAGTTTTGTTCCCACACCAGCTGCATGTAAACACAGTTAAACGAAGTAACAAGTTTAAGTACAAAAAACAAAACCAAAAACAAACTGTCAGTGCTCTGTGATGTGAAACCCACACACTGAAACCAGTATATACAGGTACCTGTTAACCACAAGTGAGAAGTGACATTTTTTACCAAGTAATACTTTTCTACTCAAACGACTACAGGAAGGATTCTCACAGTATGCACACAGAGATGTTTATTTGTCTTAAATACACATAAAATACATCTGATCATAACTGGAAAAAGTCCTGACATTCCTAACATGCTCAAAAAAAGGAAATGACAAGATAATCATGTTTCACTGATATGGCTCAGAACAGGTAGTTATCAAAGAGCTGCAAGAACTGGTATAATGTAGTCGCTTCCTTTGTTATGTGTTTTGAGATAATTGTAGCCTGCACACTGTAAACTACATTACAGTAGTTAAGTATAAAAGAAATAATAGCATGTATTACCTTTTCTAAGTTAGAATGAGACCGGAATTAACACAGTTGACATACCTGTCAAAGCTGAATAAAAGAGGACTGGAGAATTTTCAAGCACCTGTGGTGGTCTGTGGCTTGACAAACCTGAGAGCTAACAGGTGTCTAACCTAGATTTCCCCTTGGTTTGCAGACATTTTTGGGTACAAACCCCAGATTAAAGGAAACATCAACGGTGCTGGGCAGAGAATGTGTAACTACAATTATTTTAGTTTTAGAAAATGTATTAGGTCTTATTATCATAGTAGGCCAGACAAAACCTAATATGAGAGCCATCACTAGTGATGTAGGGTTGTGCATTGTCCGTGTAGCAGAGAGCATCCAAGCTATATCAGCACAGAATTTGTCCAAAGTGCAGCATGTAGATCATAAATAAAAGTGGACCCAAAATAGACCCCTGTGGAACTCCACAAGAAGTAGCAGCACAGGAACATGAGGCATGAGGCACCACATCACTGATGCCAGCACTGCTTCTCAGACATGTGAAGAAAATATTTTGGTCCACAGTATCAACGGCTGAACTGAAGTCAAGAAAAATGAAAACAGAGAAGAACCCAGAGTCAGCAGCAAGCAACAAACCTTTTGAGACCTTGACCCGAGAGTTTTCAGACCTACAATGAGAGCAAAGATCTGCTTTCTATTCATCAAATGAGTCTGCTAAGTCAGCGGTACCCAATCTTTTTTGGACCATGGACTGGTTTATCTCCAACAATATTTTCACGGACAAGCCTTTAAGGTGTTGCGGATAAATACAACAAATAAAAACAGTACCGGTACCAGTAAAAGGAAGATTTATTCATAACACATGGGAAAAGACCCATGTGTCCCATAACAATAAAATCTGATAAAACCATAAATTTCACACTCGAGCCTCAACTCTCGCGGCCCGGTACCAAACTACTCATGGACCGGTACCGGTCCGTTGGCCGGGGATTGTGGACCGCTGCGGTCCACAATCTTTTTTGAGATTTCTGGATAAAAATCAAATCTTGAACATAAACTCAGGGGATCGAGAGAGGGTTTCTTCAAAAAGGTAGACTGATATTTCAAATAGGAAAATCCCAGATCACAGAAAGTAGTTTATAATAATTAAAATATCAGAACCAGCTGTCCAGAACACACCTTTTAAAAACCAAACAGTTTGACAGGCAGGTGGAAAAATTAGAAACCGTCATAGCATCTTCCAAGGTTTCTCTGAACTGATTTAAGATTTGGCTTTGTTGACTCAGCCTCAAACTTGGGATGGAATTCTGGAATTTTGTGATTAAATTAATCACTTTCACACTTTACTATGGAAGGACCAACGACTGATTTTTATTGATGGATAGCCTTGGTTAGCGATTAACTGTGACAGACTGATGTTCCTCGCTTCCCTAGTTATGGCAGAAGCAATTAATTTGCCCTTTTGCACTTCCTCTTGGCCTTTCTGCATTTCCTCTGAAAATTCTTAATTCCTCATTGACATTCCTCCAGAATGGGGATATCAAAACCAAAATGCTTGTTAAATGATTGTTAAACGTGCTTACAAGCTCGTCTGTGGTGAAGTTGTGTTCGCTGTTGCTGAGATAAATGTAACATAACATAAATGTAACTCGAATTTAGTGAACAAGAGCAAATCATTGCAGATGATTGTGGGGTTTTGAGAAATAACTGGAATCTGGAAAGAGTGACATCATCCACACACACATCAGGAGATCACCAACTCAAATGTGTTCCCATCTACATGGGCGAACATGCTTCCCCTGTTGCGTCTGATTAAAAGACTCTAAAGGTTCGATGAAATCAGAGCCAGATTCAGATGATGAAAGGAAACACAGATTGGCATTGAAATCTCTGAATAAGCACTGTCATAGTTTGTCATGATAAACCTGATCTGAAAATCCCCGCAGCAAACCAGAAGTCATCTGTATATTTACTTTTTAAAAAAAAACAACAACAATACATTCAAATGAGTTTGTCACACAGTGGAAAATTGTGTTTTTATGTTTTGTTGTTTTAGACCATACTGTGTATTGGTACATAGTGTTGATTTTATTTGCATGATTTTATTGTGATATTTATATTTAGTGTTGTTGCATAATATTCTTTTAATCCACTGTGGACTGGCTGTGCATGGGACAAATTAGCTGATAGGGATCACATGCTGAGGCATGGGTGTGTCCAGAGGTGGCCTATCAGCTGTGTAAAGACCTTTTAAAAGCAGGCTAGCTGAGCACTGGAGGAGGAATACTAGACGGCCAGCGTGACATGGCGACCCAGTCCTGACAGCAAGGAACGGTGACAGTAGGAGACAACGCGTGTGATTGGCAGCAGGGTCTCCACTGTCGTTTACTGGTTGCAGCTGGGTTGGGAGAGGGTTGCCATGGCTACAAGCCAGGGCCGCTTCTGGGACCATTGTTCTGGCCCCCAGTTGTTATTTTACCTGGGGGCCAGGTAAAATAACAAGGCAAGGGGAGCTGTGGTGGCATCGCATGACAGATTCGGGTGCAGAACACAAGCTGGGCTGGGATGTGATGGGCCCAGTGGAAGGGCAAGAGGATGGGAGGCTCCTTCTCGTCTGCCAAAGACAAGGCTGGCGTGGACTCTGCTCTAAAGAAGGAATTCCTGGCCTGCTGGTGGACCCATAATGAACATGTGGCATAATTATATCAGGGGGTTTAGTGAATGTAGCAAATTGTAGTTTTATGGGTTTTAGAATAGTTTTATTTAGTAGATTTTTAAGGGTGTTTTTATTTGTGCTTTCTGGCTGGGAAATAAACTGTTTCCGATCAGACCTGCTTCATCTCTGTGCCCTTGGTATCTGACTCCCTTGCTCCCCCTTGGATTTTAAAGAATCGTTCTTTTTAGCATAACATTCTGGCGGGACCGCTTTAGTGTCTGCGTGTTACAAGTATACAACAAAACACGTAAAAATACAGGATGGCAACATCCTTGCAGCTAGGAAAACAATCTGTGGATGCTTCGTGATTGCATTTGCCAAGTAGTTGCAGTGAAAAAGTGGCCGCTCAGAGGTTGAGTGTGCAGTACAATCTCTGTATGAACAGTGAATGTCAATTGCAAGGCAATTGTAAGTCACAATTCACAAGTCACAATTGTCACTTGGTTCCAACCTAATACCAAGTAAGCACCACTTGCCACCTCCAACATCTTACTGCACATGCTAAAGGATCTGAGCTTCTCCAAGAAACAGTCCTGTCGCCCACTTCTTGTTCACAACATCACTGTTGGTCCTTGAATCAAGTTTGTCATTTGTGAGTAAAAGTTAACAATAAGTACCTGTAGCTGGCCACTGTTTCCAGATCCTCACCCGTGGTATTAATGGGCTTTGTTTTTTTCCTCCAGTAGTTAACCACCATCTGTTTGCCTCGTTGACATTCAGAAGTAGGTGACTGCAACCACCACAGTGTCATCAGAGAACTTCTGCAGGTGGCGTGTGCTAGTGTTATGCCGGAAATTTGAGGTTTACAGACTAAACGAGAATGAGACCAGTACCATCCTCTTAGATGCCCCAGTAAAGCTAACTAACCACACCAGACAGGGAAGCCCACATTTGTACAAACTGAGGCCTCTCTCACTGACAGTTAGTAACCCAGGAGACAGTAGATGTGGTGACACCAATCCTGAGCAGTAAAAGTGGTTAGATGGTACATAAGGCAGTAGAAACACGCCAAAAAAACAAGTTCCTCATAATGGCGCCAGCAACATGCAGGTGAGAGTGAGCACAGGTAAATAACAGCATCATCCACCCCCATAAGATGCTGGTAAGCAAACTGATGGGACACCAAAATGACCTTAAATTTATAAACAAAATTCCATAACTTTATTTAACATATTAAAACAATTTTTAGTTTATAATCATCATAATGGGATATTCAATTTGATCTCTAGTTTCATTTCATTTACTTTCCTTACAGAGTGATGATTAAAAAACTAAATTTATCACCCAAATTAAGACAGGACCTCTTGAACATCTCTAACTGGAGATCACAGATTATATTAAAATATATTTGCTGAGGCAAGAAAACTTAAAAAGCACAGTCTTTGTTCTAAGTGTCACATTTGCTTTGTTCTTTATCTATGAAAGCAGACGAGGCCTCTTGTATCACGCACATGTGATGATACCATGCTCTGACAGGAAACAGCCTCTAAAATGGAAAGCGGCTGTTAGCTGAATGTGATGACAACGGTGAAGAAGAAGATGGCTTCTGCTGCCACCATCGCTGTGGTTCTGCTCTGCTGCTTCATCACTGCCTCCACAGGTACGCTACACTTCATCTCTGTATGCTGTCAGGTGTAGTTTTTGCAGACTGAATAATGTTTTAACACATCACAGACACTTGATCTGTTGCTATGTAGCATGCAGTGTTTTATTACTGCACGGCATGAGTAATTCTACTTATTTTTAAAATATCAGTCTTTACATAAAGACATTCGATTCCATAAAAAATACATTTACATGTTGAGTGACATAATCCATGTAGTTTATAGTCAACCACATACATAGTGTTCCTCTGCTTCACCTCCATGTGTGGAATCTATAAGTCATGAACTGCATCACTTCACTTCTTCTTAGTTTTACTTTGAATGTTTTGATTATGCAGCTGTAAAACTTTGGCATTTTTCAGGAAACACATTTTCATGCAGGAGTTACAGGGAAGTGGTAATAGTCGTTGGCAGGCGTTCAGAGGCCTCAGTGGTTCGCACTGTTGAGTACCACTTGTGGTTAAGATCATTAAGGGGCGGGTTAAGAAGAACAAACTGAAGTCATGTTTAGCTTACGTTTAAATGAGCATGGTGGTCAGAAGAGAAACAACAATAAGATGCTGCTGAAACAGCAAGGTTTGACTTTGTATGTCTTCATTATTTTATTACATAAGATGGAAAATAATCCAAAGTGTAAAACAAAATAAACCGAGTTGTTAATTTAGCCACACTAGACTGCTGTTGGCAATCATTCTCTTTTTCTCGTGTTTTAAAGTTAAGCTCGATAATAAGTTGAGATGTTTACAAAACACCCAGAGCCTCGACCCACTGATTAAAAATATGAAATATGTTTAAGAATCATAATTCTGCTATTATAAATGTGTTTACTGATTTTTATTAGTTCTTAATGTTGTGTTCATTAATTGTCACCACACACAAAATGAAAAAGAACAAAAACATTCATATATTTTGGCTGAACTTTGCACTGGAAAACCCAAAACAAAACGAATAAAACAAAATACACCCACAAACAAGCATTGGATAATTAAACAATCAAACCCTGGGACAATTGTATGTTCTTTATAGGACTTTTTGTTGAACTCCAAGCCTTCAAATAATCCACAAATTGTGGGTTTTTTCCCACAGAAGGAAAACATTTGTATGATCAAATGATTTATGGATGGTAAACAGTTGGCAGAAAAAGACAAGACACTGACGAGAGTAGGCAAAGACGTGGTAAACGCCCATTTCTCTTGCAATATTTCTAACACCATCGGCTCTGAGATCAGTCTGCCTGTTCAACAAATCTGCTATAAGCCCGGTAAGTATTACTTAATTACTATCAGCTGTACAAATGTTCAAATTTGCCTTTTTCAAATCTTCATGAACTGAAGTAGTCATTGTATTGAGCTCATATCATATTAGGATTCTTTTCTTCTTCTCTTGTTTTATTCCTGAAGTTTTTCCCTGAAACAATGACAGAAATCTGGCTTTTACTGGGTTGTTACGCAGGTATGTTGTGTCTTCTGTGTAATCCTTACATTTTAACATGTGTGGCATTGCTGACATGCAGAGCAATTAAGCTTGAAGCAATGAACACAGGATTCAAATACATAAACTCTTTACTTTACATGTCTAATACAATTAATTTTCATCCTCATCAGTTACTCTTCTGGTCATCCTAATTGTCATCGTTCGTTGTGTCAGCACCAGACCAAAAGAGCATGTGCGGCCAAACGGTGAGAATTTATTTGTTTATTTTTAGTTATTTTAAAACCACTGCATATAATCTGTTAGTTACTTAAGAAGCTTCATTTCAGTCTAATCTTCTGAAAGGTTACCTGTGGAGCTCCCCAAGGTGCAGTGCTAGGACCACTATATTTATATTTAGACTTAAGTTAATGTAATGGTAGCAGGTTAAAGACATTTCAAACTGCAGATGACTCAAATATATTTTGAAAATATTGTTAAATTATGGACGAGGCATCTAAACCTGATCTTTCAAAAAAGCCATGCTGCAAATGGAAGCAATGCTCTTACTTATTTAAGATGATAACACTTAACTAGAGCCTTGTTTTTTTTTAAAATTTTACTGACGTAATGATTTAGCGGCCTAAAACTGCAGGGTCACATAGCTACAGAAATCACCTCTGTCGTGTCACATAGGATGGGTGGGGGTCTGATCCAAATTCCACATGAACCATGTAACTCCAGCACACCACAACGTTGTCTTAGTTGTGTATGTTTACTGCAAAGGAGATGAAATTATTTTTATTTATCCTTTTTTTAAAAAAAATCCTTTTGTGTTTAGTTGACACAACCCCATCAAAGCCATTTTCTCAGTAATAGCAGGTTTTACCTTTTTTCTTTCCAACACTTTAAGAGATGATGATATATTTGTTGCTGATTTTGTACCACTGGACATAATATAAAATAAATCTAATATAAGATTCGTATAACCAAAGTTCAGACGATGTGCAGACGCTTGCAGTGATTAAAAAGTGCACGGGGAAGTCATAAGTCACATTTATAGTAGTAGAACGTGTGGGCCGCCTCCCAAAACCTCTTCAGTGATTCCCTTTAAAAATGTCAAACCTAAAATGACACAACTGTATATTTCTGGATTTATAATTCATTTATTATTACAGATGGTTCTGCTGCTAACACACAGTCTGACAATCAAAGGCTCTGGACCTTCATGAGATATATATGAATCTCCAGTAAATGTTCCTCAACCTCACCATTACCTCAGGCTCCTTCTCCATCAGAGAGGTGATGCTCTGGGTATTTAAAGCCAGTGTTACCAGCCGGAGATCGGACCAGAGCCTCCACCCCAAACTGCTGCCGAACACCTGCAATAGCTCCTGTTGGTGGTCGGTCCACCAGAGATTAATTTTAATAATAATTTCTAATTTAACAGTCATTTTATTTTTTTAATACAAATTTTTGAATATGATGGCACATAAAGGTCTTTAAATGTATGAAATGTGTATGTATGTCTGTAAATTATTAAGTGACCTGTACCGTGATTGATTTACATCTTAAGATGTATGTTTTATCTTTGTTTTAATTAAGTTAAATTAAGTTAAATCATTGTTACTTTTTCTGACATTAAACATAAGTAAACAAGTAATAAAACACAGATTTAGATTTTTTTTTAATGCAAAAAAATTTGGATAATTACAAGTGTGCCTGATTTAGCAGTTTCTGTCTATTTTAAAATGTAAACTGTGACGTGTATATAAATAAAATGAATGGGTACACACAAAATCCAAATAAGATTTTGAAATCCATAATCATCTGTTTTAAGCAGGAATAAATAACAAGTTAATGTTTCAACTCATTGTTGGGTTTCTTCCTCTCTTGTACTCACATGTATTAGAATTGTTACATAGGACATTTTTGTCAGCCTCAAAAAGGCAGTTTCGGACATCCTTCCTCGCTTACGGCCATACCACCCTGAACAAGCCTGATCTCGTCTGATCTCGGAAGCTAAGCAGCGTCGGGCCTGGTCAGTACTTGGATGGGAGACCGCCTGGGAATACCAGGTGCTGTAAGCTTTTGCACTTACACACAAACTGCAAAGGGCAAAGCTACTCACTCCCTACCTCAATAACAATCATTAGTGCTCAGTTGGTATTCTTCATGATAACATTTTCTGCATCAACGTCCAAAACAGGAGTACTTAAAAGTTTCAGTGACAACATGATGCAGAGTTTGAGCTCTGACTCAGGTTCATCTTATCTCAATAACCCATTAATCTTGCTTCATGGGACACCCCGAATCTCCTGAAATTAAGAATACATACTTTATTGGCCACATTACACTCACAGAGGTATTTATTTTCAATTATTTAAAATAAAATGCACTTTTAATTTTACAAAATAATGATGGAATATTCATTCTCTTTGCTTGACAGTGAAAGGAAAAACACCAACAAAAAGGACGCTGTAGCAGTAACAAGAAAAATCAGTTTGTATTATCAGATTTTAAGAGGAAGTCATTTCAGAAAAACATACATTTATATTTTATGTCTAAATTACAAATTATCACCCAAATTAGGACAGTTTGTATTTGAGTTTTCGGTTACCTCTTGAACATCTCTAACTGGAGATTATATTTAAATATATTTGCTGAAGCAAGAAAACTAAAAAAGCAAAGTCTTTGTTCTAAGTGTCACACTTACTTTGTTCTTTATCTGTGAAAGTAGACGAGGCCTCTTGGATCACTTCCCTTCAAAACCATACATGCGCACGCACGTAAACATGATGATACCATACTCTGACAGGAAACAGCCTCTAAAATGGAAAGCGGCTGTTAGCTGAATGTGATGAGAACAGTGAAGAAGAAGATGGCTTCTGCTGCCACCATCGCTGTGTTTCTGCTCTGCTGCTTCATCACTGCCTCCACAGGTACGCTACACTTCATCTCTGTATGCTGTCAGGTGTAGTTTTTGGTGAACTGTATAAGCAATTAGCTTTAAAATCCAAAGTTTATGGCTTTAATTTCAAATGTTAAGTGTCAAAATTCAAATGTTTTTGAAAGATAAAATCATTTATCAGTGTTTAGTTGCACACTGAATAATTTTTTAACACATCACAGACATTTGATCTGTTGCTATGTAGCATGCAGTCCTTTTTTTCTGTACGAAGCTCCCACTAAAAAGCTCCCACGTAAAAATGCCTTCATTTAGTTGTAGTTGATGAACTAAAGCATAAATATAATTATCTTATTTAAAAACTTAGATTCAATTTCATCTCGTTAATTGTGTGTTATTCTGCGCTGTCATTTACCATCATCAACAGTTTGTTTCGTACTTATGAAATGCAAATTTGGCTTCACTCCTCAATAGAGGACTCAGAAACTGAACAGTGCTGACTAAAAAGAAAAACTAGTTTGTCTTCACTGGACTGGACTTAATTAAAGTTATCACTGTCTTTACATAAAGACTTTCGAATTTTAAAAAAAAAATCATTTAAATGATGAGTAACAAAATCCACGTAGGTTGAAGTCAACCACACACAGAGTGGGGCGTAGCGCTGCAGCGCTTCACCCCACTCTGTGGAATCTATAAGTCATAAACTGCATCACTTCACTTCTTCTTAGTTTTACATTGAATGTTTTGATTATTTCAGCACTATTTACAGGAATAAGTGATCTTCACACGATGTCAGTGATGCCTTTTGACAGTTTTCTTTGCAGGTCATGCATCATGTTGACTGGTTGTGTTTGAATTTTACAATCTTTACAATTTTTACAAAAAAAAAAAAAGAAAAAGACATTCTCACATGACAGTTATAAAGATAAATGCCTTTTTTTCTTTTCTGCAACCGTAAAGTTGTGAGAGGCATTTTTTAGGAAAGGCATGCAAGAGTCACAGGGAAGTGGTAACGGTCACGGGCAGACGCTCAGAGCTCTCTGGGTTAGAGTCTTGAGAACCGCTTGTGGTTAAGATGGAGAGAAACAGAAAACTTATGGTTAAAATTTTAAAAGATAATGCGTTTTCTCTTCCTTTTTTGCTACATGAAAGGTGTGGGGCAATTACCCACGAGTCACTTTGTGACTGCCTCTGAACAAAGGCACTCAACCAGCTTTGACTAGTGTCTCAAAATTAGTGATAACAAGAAGCTTATTTTCCTGTTATCACTTTGGAAAATATTAATGTTGTGACTCTTGAGCAGACGACTGATATAACCTCTGATTTCCTGTGGGTTCCCCTAATAGAAAATGAAACTGTCAAGTTGTTCAGTGATTGCAAAATCCATTTTACTGAGTACGTCTAATTGTCTTCTCAGTGTCTCATAATCATGAAGAAATGCCATGTGCCTTTAAAAAATATTATCTGGTGCTCACAACTGACGACAAACTAAAGTTAGGTTTAGTTTATGTTTAAATGTGCACGGTGGTCTGAAGAGAAACAACAGGATATGAGATAACAATCATTGAGCCTCAGTCATCTGTCCTATCATAGACATTTGTCAGCTACACAGCGAGTGTATAAACTTGTTGTAGCGCACGCACAAATGTAGCAGATTAAAAGAACTCAACCTACACAGAGATCATTCTAAAAACATGATCATCTTCTACAGTAGTCGACTTTTATTGGGAAGACCAAAAAAGACAAAAACCTTATTCTGAAATATCAGCTGATTGTCAGTGATTTATCAAATTAAAACAACGTATCGAACATCTCCTGATGGGTTTTAGTAATTTCTTACAAAAAAGCCACTCAGAGACATTTGGACATGCAGGAAATGTGTTTGATGCTGTGCACAAAGTCATTAGTTTTGGTATATTTATGTTTACAACCTACTAATGTCCCCTCTAAGTTAGAAATATTTTACAAGTTGCAAACAGAATGTAATTGTTAGTGCCTGATACTTTCTTTGTGCATCGTGATCTCTTTACAGCTAACATGGCTAATCTCTTTCTTCATCTTTCTGTTTCAAAGGCTCTCAGGATGATTGTGTGTACGCTGCAACAGGATCAAGCTTTACTGTGCCACTTAGATATAAGTTGAAGGAATCAGATCACCTGAAATGGATCAAGGACACAAGCGTAATCTTTAATCGCAGACAGAAACAGGTGATCATGGGGAAAAATGATGATGTTGATTCAACTGGATCACTAAAGCTGACAAAACTGACCAAAGACAAGTCAGGACGATACAGAGCAGAGGTTTACACAGATGGAATAAATGTGGGGGGAAACTTACCAAGTGTGCATTTGTGTGTATTAGGTAAGTAACAACACATTATCCATACATTCATTTTGGTAATACAAATGTACTTTATAGCAAGTCTTCTGTCTGTTTCTATGTTAGTCACACATTTAACCCACAGAAAACTGCTGGCTCATTGATATACTAAAGTTACTGTCTAATTTTGTCATGCAGTCTTATTACTTTTTTAATGTATTATCAGCAGTTCATATAATGTTAATATAATCAAATTTTCTTTACTCAGACCGTGTGCAGAAGCCCAATGTGACGATGACGTGTACAGGCAATAAGACAAGAGTCAGTTTTACTTGCAGTGTTGGTCAGGTGAGGACAATATTTCATGTTTTATTGATATTTCCATGTAGTGAGTTCTTCAAACAACTTATAATTAAGCTGCTGAAGAATCTGTGGACAAAGGTCTCATTTCACCTCCACTGAAACCAAGCAGTTGAACTGTGTTGACTGTAAAATGCAGCTGAAACAGCAAGATTTATGTGCACATATTATTTTAATATATAAAATGGGATACAGCTAATCTAATTTCAGCTGCATTCGGCTTCTGTTGGCAATCATTCTCTTTGCCTCATGTTTTAAAGTTTGATTAATTAAGTTTAGTTTAGTTTTTTACAAAAGACACAAAGACAACGACCCACTGATTAAAATGCTGAAATGTATTTAAGAATTTGTCTGTCAAATTATTAATTCCACAGTTAATTGTACAGAGTCACCACACACACGAAAAGAAAAATACTCTTATATTCTGAGCCGTGCACTGGAAATACAAGAAAAACAAAATGAAACAAAAAACTACACACACACACACACACACACACACACACACACACACACACTCTAAGCCTTCAACTAATCTACTAATTGTGTTTTCGCCCACAGAATGAGAAGATTGAATGGTTTAAGGATGGTAAACAGTTGGCAGAAAAAGACAAGACGGTGACGAGAGTAGCCAAAGACGTGGCAAACTCCCATTTCTCTTGCAATGTTTCTAACACCATCGGCTCTGAGATCAGTCTGCCTGTTCAACAAATCTGCTATAAGCCTGGTAAGTATTACTTGCTGTCAACTCTGCAAACGTTTAAATTTGCCTTTTTCCAAATGTTCGTGAGCTCACATCATAACAAGATTCTTTTCTTCTTCTCTTGTTTTATTCCTGAAGTTTTCTCTGAAACAATATTTGGAATTAGCATCTGGGTTTTAGTGGGTGGTGGAGCAGGTATGTTGTGTCTTCTGTGTAATCCTTACATTTTAACATGTGTGGCATTGCTGAAATGCAATTAAGCTTGAAGCAATGAACACAGCATTCAAATACAAAAACTCTTTACTTTACATATCTAATACAATTTATTTTCATCCTCATCAGGTATTGTTCTGATTTTGATCCTAATTGCCATCGTTTGTTGTATCCGGATCAGACGAAAAAAGCATGTGCGACTAAACGGTGAGATTTTATTTTTATTTTTTTAGTCATTTTAAAACCACTGCATATAATCTGTTAGTTACTTAAGAAGCTTCATTTCAGTCTAAACTTCTGAAAGGTTACCTGTGGAGCTCCCCAAGGTGCAGTGCTAGGACCACTATATTTATATTTAGACTTAAGTTAATGTAATGGTAGCAGGTTAAGAGAGAGAGTCTCAAGTAACAATCATTAGTGCTCAGTTGGTATTCTTCATGATAACATTTTCTGCATCAACGTCCAAAACAGGAGTACTTAAAAGTTTCAGTGACAACATGATGCAGAGTTTGAGCTCTGACTCAGGTTCAGCTTATCTCAATAACCCATTAATCTTGCTTCATGGGACACCCCGAATCTCCTGAAATTAAGAATACATACTTTATTTGCCACATTACACTCACAGAAGTGTTTATTCTCATTATTTAAATAAAATACACTTTTAATTTTACAAAATAATGATGGAATATTCATTCTCTTTGCTTGACAGTGAAAGGAAAAACACCAACAAAAAGGACGCTGTAGCAGTAACAAGAAAAATCAGTTTGTATTATCAGATTTTAAGAGGAAGTCATTTCAGAAAAACATACATTTATATTTTATGTCTAAATTACAAATTATCACCCAAATTAGGACAGTTTGTATTTGAGTTTTCGGTTACCTCTTGAACATCTCTAACTGGAGATTATATTTAAATATATTTGCTGAAGCAAGAAAACTAAAAAAGCAAAGTCTTTGTTCTAAGTGTCACACTTACTTTGTTCTTTATCTGTGAAAGTAGACGAGGCCTCTTGGATCACTTCCCTTCAAAACCATACATGCGCACGCACGTAAATATGATGATACCATACTCTGACAGGAAACAACCTCTAAAATGGAAAGCGGCTGTTAGCTGAATGTGATGACAACAGTGAAGAAGAAGATGGCTTCTGCTGCCACCATCGCTGGGTTTCTGCTCTGCTGCTTCATCACTGCCTCCACAGGTAGGCTACACTTCATCTCTGTATGCTGTCAGGTGTAGTTTTTGGTGAACTGTATAAGCAATTAGCTTTAAAATCCAAAGTTTATGGCTTTAATTTCAAATGTTAAGTGTCAAAATTCAAATGTTTTTGAAAGATAAAATCATTTATCAGTGTTTAGCTGCACACTGAATAATTTTTTAACACATCACAGACATTTGATCTGTTGCTATGTAGCATGCAGTCCTTTTTTTCTGTACGAAGCTCCCACTAAAAAGCTCCCACGTAAAAATGCCTTCATTTAGTTGTAGTTGATGAACTAAAGCATAAATATAATTATCTTACTTAAAAACTTAGATTCAATTTCATCTCGTTAATTGTGTGTTATTCTGCGCTGTCATTTACCATCATCAACAGTTTGTTTCGTACTTATGAAATGCAAATTTGGCTTCACTCCTCAATAGAGGACTCAGAAACTGAACAGTGCTGACTAAAAAGAAAAACTAGTTTGTCTTCACTGGACTGGACTTAATTAAAGTTATCACTGTCTTTACATAAAGACTTTCGAATTTAAAAAAAAAATCATTTAAATGATGAGTAACAAAATCCACGTAGGTTGAAGTCAACCACACACAGAATGGGGCGTAGCGCTGCAGCGCTTCACCCCACTCTGTGGAATCTGTAAGTCATAAACTGCATCACTTCACTTCTTCTTAGTTTTACATTGAATGTTTTGATTATTTCAGCACTATTTACAGGATTAAGTGATCTTCACACGATGTCAGTGATGACTTTTGACAGTTTTCTTTGCAGGTCATGCATCATGTTGACTGGTTGTGTTTGAATTTTACAATCTTTACAATTTTTACAAAAAAAAAAAAGAAAAAGACATTCTCACATGACAGTTATAAAGATAAATGCCTTTTTGTCTTTTCTGCAACTGTAAAGTTGTGAGAGGCATTTTTTAGGAAAGGCATGCAAGAGTCACAGGGAAGTGGTAACGGTCACGGGCAGACGCTCAGAGCTCTCTGGGTTAGAGTCTTGAGAACCGCTTGTGGTTAAGATGGAGAGAAACAGAAAACTTATGGTTAAAATTTTAAAAGATAATGCGTTTTCTCTTCCTTTTTTGCTACATGAAAGGTGTGGGGCAATTACCCACGAGTCACTTTGTGACTGCCTCTGAACAAAGGCACTCAACCAGCTTTGACTAGTATCTCAAAATTAGTGATAACAAGAATCTTATTTTCTTGTTATCACTTTGGAAAATATTAATGTTGTGACTCTGAGCAGACGACTGATATAACCTCTGATTTCCTGTGGGTTCCCCTAATAGAAAATGAAACTGTCAAGTTGTTCAGTGATTACAAAATCCATTTTACTGAGTACGTCTAATTGTCTTCTCAGTGTCTCATAATCATGAAGAAATGCCATGTGCCTTTAAAAAATATTATCTGGTGCTCACAACTGACGACAAACTAAAGTTAGGTTTAGTTTATGTTTAAATGTGCACGGTGGTCTGAAGAGAAACAACAGGATATGAGATAACAATCATTGAGCCTCAGTGATCTGTCCTATCATAGACATTTGTCAGCTACACAGCGAGTGTATAAACTGGTTGTAGCGCACGCACAAATGTAGCAGATTAAAAGAACTCAACCTACACAGAGATCATTCTAAAAACGTGATCATCTTCAACAGTAGTCGACTTTTATTGGGAAGACCAAAAAAGACAAAAACCTTATTCTGAAATATCAGCTGATTGTCAGTGATTTATCAAATTAAAACAATGTATCGAACATCTCCTGATGGGTTTTAGTAATTTCTTACAAAAAAGCCACTCAGAGACATTTGGACATGCAGGAAATGTGTTTGATGCTGTGCACAAAGTCATTAGTTTTGGTATATTTATGTTTACAACCTACTAATGTCCCCTCTAAGTTAGAAATATTTTACAAGTTGCAAACAGAATGTAATTGTTAGTGCCTGATACTTTCTTTGTGCATCGTGATCTCTTTACAGCTAACATGGCTAATCTTTTTTCTTCATCTTCTGTTTCATTTCAAGGCTCTCAGGATGATTGTGTGTACGCTGCAACAGGATCAAGCTTTACTGTGCCACTTAGATATAAGTTGAAGGAATCAGATCACCTGAAATGGATCAAGGACACAAGCGTAATCTTTAATCGCAGACAGAAACAGGTGATCATGGGGAAAAATGATGATGTTGATTCAACTGGATCACTAAAGCTGACAAAACTGACCAAAGACAAGTCAGGACGATACAGAGCAGAGGTTTACACAGATGGAATAAATGTGGGGGGAAACTTACCAAGTGTGCATTTGTGTGTATTAGGTAAGTAACAACACATTATCCATACATTCATTTTGGTAATACAAATGTACTTTATAGCAAGTCTTCTGTCTGTTTCTATGTTAGTCACACATTTAACCCACAGAAAACTGCTGGCTCATTGATATACTAAAGTTACTGTCTAATTTTGTCATGCAGTCTTATTACTTTTTTAATGTATTATCAGCAGTTCATATAATGTTAATATAATCAAATTTTCTTTACTCAGACCGTGTGCAGAAGCCCAATGTGACGATGACGTGTACAGGCGATAAGACAAGAGTCAGTTTTACTTGCAGTGTTGGTCAGGTGAGGACAATATTTCATGTTTTATTGATATTTCCATGTAGTGAGTTCCTCAAATAACTTAAAATTAAGCTGCTGAAGAATCTGTGGACAAAGGTCTCATTTCACCTCCACTGAAACCAAGCAGTTGAACTGTGTTGACTGTAAAATGCAGCTGAAACAGCAAGATTTATGTGCACATATTATTTTAATATATAAAATGGGATACAGCTAATCTAATTTCAGCTGCATTCGGCTTCTGTTGGCAATCATTCTCTTTGCCTCATGTTTTAAAGTTTGATTAATTAAGTTTAGTTTAGTTTTTTACAAAAGACACAAAGACAACGACCCACTGATTAAAATGCTGAAATGTATTTAAGAATTTGTCTTTCAAATTATTAATTCCACAGTTAATTGTACAGAGTCACCACACACACAAAAAGAAAAATACTCTTATATGTTGAGCCGTGCACTGGAAAAACAAGAAAAACAAAATGAAACAAAAAACTACACACACACACACACACACAACACACACACACACACACACAAAACACACACACACACACACACACACACACACACACAACAACTCTTCAATTAATCACAATTGTGTTTCTCCCACAGAATGAGAAGATTGAATGGTTTAAGGATGGTAAACAGGTTGGCAGAAAAAGGAAGACGGTGACGAGAGTAGCCAAAGACGTGGCAAACCCCATTTCTCTTGCAATGTTTCTAACACCATCGGCTCTGAGATCAGTCTGCCTGTTCAACAAATCTGCTATAAGCCTTGTAAATATTACTTGCTGTCAACTCTGCAAACGTTTAAATTTGCCTTTTTCCAAATGTTCGTGAGCTCATATCATAACAAGATTCTTTTCTTCTTCTCTTGTTTTATTCCTGAAGTTTTCTCTGAAACAATATTTGGAATTAGCATCTGGGTTTTAGTGGGTGGTGGAGCAGGTATGTTGTGTCTTCTGTGTAATCCTTACATTTTAACATGTGTGGCATTGCTGAAATGCAGAGCAATTAAGCTTGAAGCAATGAACACAGGATTCAAATACAAAAACTCTTTACTTTACATGTCTAATACAATTTATTTTCATCCTCATCAGGTATTGTTCTGATTTTGATCCTAATTGCCATCGTTTGTTGTATCCGGATCAGACGAAAAAAGCATGTGCGACTAAACGGTGAGATTTTATTTTTATTTTTTTAGTTATTTTAAAACCACTGCATATAATCTGTTAGTTACTTAAGAAGCTTCATTTCAGTCTAAACTTCTGAAAGGTTACTTGTGGAGCTCCCCAAGGTGCAGTGCTAGGACCACTATATTTATATTTAGACTTAAGTTAATGTAATGGTAGCAGGTTAAAGACATTTCAAACTGCAGATGACTCAAATATATTTTGAAAATATTGTTAAATTATGGACGAGGCATCTAAACCTGATCTTTCAAAAAAGCCATGCTGCAAATGGAAGCAATGCTCTTACTTATTTAAGATGATAACACTTAACTAGAGCCTTTTTTAAAATTTTACTGACATAATGATTGAGCGGCCTAAAACTGCAGGGTCACATACAGTCTGATCCAAACTCCACATGAACCATGTAACTCCAGCACACCACAACGTTGTCTTAGTTGTGTATGTTTACTGCAAAGGAGATCAACTTATTTTTATTTATCCTTTTGTATTTAGTTGACACAACCCCATCAAAGCCATTTTCTCAGTAATAGCAGGTTTTACCTTTTTTCTTACCAACACTTTAACAGATGATGGTGTTTCTCCAGGTCTGATTTGTAATCTATACTTATTTTAACAGATGAGAGGGAGCTTTATTTGCAGTGGAGCAATCAAGAACAGGAACAGCCTGATTATTATGACCACCGCTACCTGCAGCAACTACCTGGCAATACCAGCAATATGGCTGAAAACACCAACTCGCCGAGCAACATCCCGAAACCTGGCATCTGTACACACTGTGGCCTGAAGAGAGACGACTTGAAATAATGCAATCACCAGCATCCAGCCTCAGCTATAAGTCATTTATGTTTTTCAGCTTCGTGTTAAATGGATAAACTGGCTGCACACAACAAATTGGCAGATTAAAGGAAATGACCTCAAATACACAGTCTGAATAAATAATAATGAGCATGTGGTTGACATGAAGTGACTAAACCAGATGTACAAACCTTAATCTGAAATACCAGCTGATTAAGCAATAATTTAATTGAACTAAAACACCATCAAAACATCTCCAGACTTTGTTGTTTTGTAAGTAGATTTAAAAAAAAAGATAACCCAGAGAAAGTGGGACAGACAGGAAGTCGGACTGTTTACATCTTCTGTAGTAACTCAGGCGCCTTTGTAAAGAATGACTGTTTAATCTTTGTGTCAGTACATTAAGAGCTTTCTGCTCTCTTTGCTCCTTGTTTTGAAGGAAAATATGCTCTTCTCGGTGGGAAGGGTTCATGCTGTATATTTGCTGTGAGAGTGAAAGTTCAGGACTTGCGTA